AAACTTAGAAAAATAATAACTTCCTCATACGAAGTCAGATTTGGGCGTTCTTTTTATACATACTCTCGGTTTAAAGAACATTACGACTTTCATTTAGATCACTAAGGCTAAAAAGTAGTTTATCAAAAACTCACTTTTTACGTCATTCGGCGCCGTGTCGGTTTTGTCGCGAAACTTCGACGGGTCGTAACTTCTTCATTATAACTTGGATTTCGGTATTCTTTATATATCCGGAATCCTTATCACGACCACTACAACTTTCTTAATAGATATCGGCTTTATCTAATATTTATTTTCGACGCTCATTTTTATTCTTAGTTAATTAAATCCTAATAATTAAGCACAAAACACATAATTCACATAATAATCACATAATTCCTCTTCATTTATTCAAAATGAGTTACAAGGGTTGACCTAGACTATTTCATCATCATTAATGTCTAGCCTAGAAACACGGGCGTTACAATTCTCTCCCCCTTAGGATGATTCCGTCCCCGGAATCAAACATCAGCAAACAAATGCGGGTAGCGACTCATCATGTCACTCTCCGTTTCCCATGTGAGATTTGTTCCATTCGTATGTTTCCAATGCACAAGCACTAATTCGACCATCTTGCGTCACAACTTTTTAGTCTTACGGTCAACGATTGCCTCTTGTTCTTCAATTAACCTCTTGTTTTCATCCAACCTTAATTCTGAAATTGGAATTATGTCGGGCACATCTCCCGTGAACTTCCTCAAATAACACACATGAAAGGCGTTATGAATACCCTCTAGTTCTTCTGGTAATTCTAGCTTGTAAGCTTGATTCCCAATCCTCTGAAGAACTTTAAACGGTCCAATAGACCTTGGACTCAATTTTCCCCTTTTACCAAATCTTATAAGTCCCTTCCACGGTGAGACTTCAAGTAAAAACCGAATCTCCAACTTCGAAGGATATTGGTTGTCTTTTCTTGTTAGCATAGCTCTTTTGACGATCTTGAGCAGCTAACATCCTTTTCCTAATCACTTTCAACTTTTCAGCAGTCTGATGGACTATTTCAGGTCTCACAAACTACTTTTCCCCAACTTCCAGCCAACATGACGGCGTTCGACACTTTTCTCCATACAAAGCTTGGTAAGGTGCCATCTTGATGCTTGAGTGGAAACTATTATTGTAGGAAAAAATTCTACCAGAGGTAAATGTTCATCCCAGTTACCTTGGAATTCCAGGGTACATGCTCTCAGTATATCGTCCAACGTTTGAATTGTTCGTTCACTCTGACCATCTGTCTGCGGATGGTAAGCAGTACTCAAACATAACTTGGTACCCAATTCCTCTTGTAGACTCCTTTAAAACCTTGAGGTAAAACGGCTGTCACGATCTGATACAATCGTTAATGGAACACCGTGAAGCCTCACAATTTCCTTCACGTAAGAATTCGCAAGCTTATCCATAGATCATTTCTCGTTGGCTGCTATGAAATGCGCACTCTTAGTGAAGCGATCAACGACCACACAAATCATGTCGTGACCGTTCTTTGTTCTGGGCAGTTTAGTCACGAAATCCATGGTGATGTCTTCCCATTTACCTATGGGTACAGGTAAAGGTTCTAAACTCCCATACGGTTTCTGCTGTTGTGCCTTAACCCTAGCACATGTTACACACTCGGCCACATACTTAGCAACATCGAGCTTCATCGTCGGCCACCAGTAGTAGGGTTTTAGATCCCTATACTTCTTCTTTTTTTGTGCTGCCGGGATTAATCGAGTACATGGTCTTGTGAGCTTCTTCCATCAGAAGATCTCTTACTCCTCCCGTCTTAGGTACCCAA